CGCAGAAAATATTGTAAACATGATGTAAAGTAGGCACTTATCGACATTAGCAGATTCAACAGAAAGTAACTTAAGATTCATGCGTGCAGATTCATCACATTCACATAACTCACATTGCCCACGTGGTCCACAGCTCATGTTTTTCCACAGCTTGTCTGGTACAGGCCAGCAGGCCCAGAGCTTTAGGGTTGGGGAGGGTATCGTGCAAACTATTGGAGTTGGGCTGAGAAGAGTGAGGAGCTTTGGCCCTGGCTCACATCATGACCTCAAGCAAGTGACTGGGGCCTCTGGAGGCACCACAGAAGTGCAGGGATGCTTTAGCCTCGACCCTGAAAGAGGCCACTCAGCAGACCAGGTAGGGAATTATTATGTTTCTTTCCTTGCCCACAGTCAAACCAATCTAACTCAGTGGTAGGAATAGCTTTGCATTATGGGGGAATTACCTGGCCCCTGAGCAAACTACTTTAATATAATGCAACCCCAAATGTCATGAGCCCTGCTCTAAGAAATTCCAGGACCGTGGTCCATTCCCCTTATACACTGGACAGTCTCTTTTCCCATTGCATGTCACAGCCTGCTCTTCATGTAAAATATCTCGTGAGCAAGACAATTATAGAGAGGGAAAGAATCTAGATATGTTCCAGTTGTTGCTCAGTGCACTGAGCTTGGAACATTCAACGTCTGTTGAAATGCATATTTTACTGAAAGCCATTTTTTTTAATACAGGAATATGTTCCAGCTGGTTCAATAGCTCCCCACCCTCCTTTTTCTTTAATAACTAATTATGCTCATAGTTTAATAAAGGCCCAAAGAGTTGAATACAATTGCTTTGCAACTCCCTCACTTGTAATTCTGCATCTTTGCTCTCTCCCTCTACCTTTTTTTAAAACTCAATAACCATTTTACTTAGCAGGAAAGATTCTCTGCAAAATCAAACTGTATTGAATAGCTACATAAAGAGTCCACCTGCTGTGTGAGCACAGTAACTGCCCATGTCACCTTTAAACAAATCTAGTGCAGCTGCTGGTAGATAGTAGTAATGCCCAGGGCTCTCAGCTTCATCTAATGAAATCCAAGTAGGCTGTGAATCTGTGGCTCAGTGGTGCTGGAAGTCACCTCTGGGCTTCTTTTAAAATAGTTGTATTGCTGTCTTCAGCAATGATAGGCTCTGTCCGTGCTGTGGTTAAAGCAGTGCTAGCCCAGGGCAGTTGCTGTTAAGAGGTGATATGTCAATTATCAGGAATACAGGAGCAGGTTCTGTGCTTTGTCTGCTAAAAGGCACAGCACAGACTGCACAGTTCTTGGGCAGGGGAGTCCCAGCATGGTGGCTTCAGCTGCCTTTCTGCCATCCAGATTCTGGGTTGCTGACACCATCAGGAGTCTCCCTGGGCTGTTTACACATGCCTTAGGATGTCCCTCTGCCAGTGGATTTCTCTCAAATTCCTTGTGAGAGTAGAACTAGAGTCAGAACTGATGAGACACTATTTTTTCACTGACTTCCTTTCCATAAACCATGGTTTTGAATTTTGGTTTTCATTTTGTTGAACTGCCTGGTCCTGCAAACTCTCCCTGCTCGCTCCCTGTTATGCAGCTCCACGAAGCTACAATATACAGAAGAGAAGCCATCCAGCATTTCCCCCAGTAAGCACCAATTGTTTTATTCCCTCCGTCTGGCTTTTGAACTGCTCTCCCCCTCTGCTTCAGACCTGATCATCTCTTCCTCTATTTATTTTTTTCTTCTTTGCAGGTTGTTGTATCCTTGGCCAAAGACACTGGATCAGAAGTAAGTTCCCTCCAAAACTCAATTCTATGTGCCTTCCTTGTGTAGGCTGTGCCATTATTGATGCAAAGCTGTGGTGCTAAGCCTCTGTCAGGATCGGACCCTTTTAGAGGAAGGCCTGCTTGCAATACCCTTATCGAGTAAGTCTAATGAAGTCAATGAGATTGCTTCTAACAAGTTACTTAAGAAGTGGTAGGAGACTGCAGCCCTATGTAATCCTGTGCCTTGTCTCCATGCCAATGCATTGCCTTCCAGTTATTTTGATGCTTGTGTGTGTTGCATTTTTCGCTTCCCATTTTGAAAGACAAGCCTTCCCCGGTTAGCCAGGGAGGGGGAGATCTGCTGGGTGCTCGGGTATGTGATTTGAAACAAACCATTGTGCTTTTCTTTTGTGACTACGTAAGACCTGGAGATGTGCATAGGCTGTAATCTTTTCCTGGTGTCCGGGAAGACCCAAGGATGCTCAGGTCCTATGTGGGGGCAAGCCCAAAATGTTCATTCACTGTTTTAACACAGAATGTGAATAAGGAACAAAACCCTCTTTTTTGCCTTATTTTTACCTGCTGTTATTTCAAAAGGATACACTGGGCCTCATTCTCCTTACACAGGTGGTGTATCTCAGGAGTCATTCTAACAAAGCCATTGGAATTACACTGGTGTGAGAGGAGAATCAGGTCTGTCATGATGTATTTTATAATAGTCTTTACTGCAAAAAGTGTCCTGGAGGGAGTTAATGGCAGTTACACACAGTGCTGATTGTGTCAGTGTCCTGGGGAATGAGTCGGTCAGAGGTCCAGTGAAGGCCTTTGAAATAAAAGAGCATATGATAAAGGAATAAACTTACTCATAAGGTATACTAAAATCAGACCTAATAATTGACCTGGGAAGAGATCAGCCCTGTTAAAATAATGTGCTTTGTCCAAAAGGAACTAATTTAGATTTTTTTTCTTCCACATATGTTCCTGATTTGTATGTTGTCCAGATATCCAGACTTACATGATTGTACAAGGAAATGGAATTTAAGACTTCATTTTATCCCGGCTGGCTGAACCCGCTGCATCAGCCATCAAATTATTCCTCACGGTTCCCTTGACCCCACTTTCATGGCGTCATGCCCTTGGGAAATGATGGAAGGGAGATAGGGCGGGGAGAGAGCTCACTTTTGGCATAGCCTCAAAATGTGGACAAATGAGGTGTCCAGTAAATCTTGTTAACAATTAACAGGGGGCTATGCTCTGGAGACGAGTCTGAGCAGCTCAGGATGAAGCAAGCGTTGTACATTATATTTCATTTAAAAAGCTCAGACTTCTTCCAAGAGCCCTCCCTAGAGGAAAAAAGATGAAATATTAGCACATCATTGCAGTCTGGCGTAACAGGGCTTTTTCTGCATATCTATTCAATGCTTACACTGCCCATGTAGAAGAGATTATGGATTTTCTATGACTTTGATACATGTTTGAATGTTGGACCAAACATAAAAAGTGTCAGTAGTGATTCCACACATTAAAGCTGCCTTTCTGTGTTGGTAAAATAGAATGTCGTGCTACAAACTGTGTTTTAATAACCATGGCAACAGGACAATTTTGTAATTTTAGTATTACCTAGATTTTAAATCGATGCACAGCAATCTGTATCTAAGCTGCAACAAATACAAGGAAGGGGTGTGTGGTTTCCCATATGTGGAGCTTGTTGGGGTTAAAATTCACCCCAACCCTGGGATCCCCTGGGCTTACAAGAGATTTCAGTGAAACAGGCTATTTGTTACCCTTCCTAGACAACAGCAAATTTCATCCTAGAAACAGAGTCAGAGTCTGATGTCTCCTGCCTGGATGCCTCAGGCTATGAGAGGATGAAAACAGATGGGGAGATTCATAGTTATGAAGCCTCTTGTTGTCTGGAAGGGAAGAGTGAAGATGGGTGACTGAAGCATTTTGTTTATAATGGATCTTGAAGGGGTATATATTGAATATTCCTCTCTCTATTCTCCTTCCAGTCTCTTTTAAACAGTTACTGGGCTGAGGCTCCAGGGACCACTTACCTTTTATTTACTTACTTTTTCCTGTTCCTACCGGTGTAGGGATGTGCTGACCTGTCATGCTATGGCTGGCCCACAATGTCTGGGAAAGAAGCTTCAGCTCAGAAATCTTGGACAGTGCTTACAAACCACTGAACCTCCCCATAAGGATGACTGCCTCTGCCATTGAAAAGTGAGTGAATAATAGCCCGGGGGCTCTGGTTCATGGGGCAATGTTCTCATTGGTAAAGCTCTCCCCCCATGCTGGCGCCTCCATCGCTCAGTGTCCTGTTGAGGGGAGTGAGTGTGAGAAGAAGGAGAAACTGGAATTCAAGGAGCTGTTCCAGATGAGGAAGCAGACTACCTTGGTGATACTCAGTAGCACAAAACACCTTTAACTCCTGTTCTTTGTCCCCTTCATGAAAGTAAAGGACTCTTAGTATTTTTGGCAACGAGAGACTGGATTGATAAAAGCAAGTGAGAGTCATGCATAATAACACCAAGACAACACTTTTAATCAATAGGTCTCAAAGCACTTTTCATCATTATCTCTATTTTAAAGAAGGAGAAACTGAGGAATAAAAAGGTGAAGTGATTTGCCCAAGGTTTTTTAGCAGGTCAGTGGCAAAAGCAGGAATACAACACAAGCCTTTGAAGTTCCTGTTCTAGTGCTCTATCCCCAAAGCCCTACTGCCTCCCCAGAGGTCAAACAAGTTCAGTACAAGTTCTCCTTCTCCACTCACCCTCAGCATCAAGCTCTGTTGCTGCCTGTCAATCCTGCTGTTCCTCCCCTGTGCTAGCCACACTTCTTATGGAGAGATTTGCAAGAGCAGTAGTTTCACTACATGGATAAATTGAATAAGAATCCCCTAGTTACTTTATGGAGGACATTGATGAAATCTAAGTGAGACATGATCAGTTCCAGAGGTGAAAAGTTAGCGCAGCAACCTTCTGAGCCATTTAGCTTGCCCTTCAGTTTTGAATATTCTTGTGGCGTTAGACATAGCGCAACGCAGGGTGTAAATGAAATGTGTTGATGGTGAGTACAAGTCCGAGGAGTCCTCCAGTGACTTCCCAGGTTCCTCCTGTCAAACTGGACATACGTGGAGGATCATTAGACAGTCTGAAAAGAGATCCCATCTGTGATGAAAAGATCTACGCATGCTCCAGAGCAGTGGCCTGATTCATATCTTCCTTGTTCCTTGCCTGGTCATTCCTTCCTGCACAAATCGGAAGGATAATATTTTTACATCCACTTGATAACAGTGGTTCAGCCCCAAACTATTGGAACAACAGGAGTGCAGACACCATTTTCGAATGTTGATCCAGGTCCCCTTTGAGAGGTATTGAGAGAGAGGTTGCACTGTGGAAGTGGGAGTTTATTCCACATTGTCAACTGACAAAGGCAGATGTAATCAATTTATCCTCTACTCTGCCATCATCCAACCCAATTTTATTCTCACCACCTGCATTTATTATTGCAGTATACTTATAGTAGTATCTAGGCAAATCCCTTCTTACCTAGTCTGTTTCCTACTAAAGCACCCTCCCATTTGCCAGTAATCTGGAAAACAGCCCTTCACCCCAACTGTGCTATTCCTGGACACTTTTGTGTCTCCACAGATATGTAAAGTTTGTGGACCACTTCCTGGAATCAGTAGAGAAGCACTTCATGGAAGGCTATCAGGTGAACTATTACATCTTCACCGACCACCCCCAGGCAGTTCCCAGAGCCATACTGCAGCCTGCCCAAAGCCTCTTCATGGTCCCGATCAGAAAATATTCCCACTGGCAGAAGATTGCCATGTGCAGAATGGAGGCAATAAACAGGCATATTGCAGAAACAGTCCACTGGGAGGTGGATCGCTGGATACTGATGTTCTGTCTGGATATTGCTACGGTGTTCCACAACCCATGGGGGGCAGAGACACTGGGAGAAGTGGTGGTAGCCATATACCCTGGCTACTTCAACATCCCTCAAAGACAGTTCTCCTATGAGAGAAGGAGCGCTTCAGCAACCTTCATCCCTGATGGAGAGGGGAACTTCTACTATGGAGGGGCTGTCATTGGAGGGCTGGTCAAGAAGGTGTATGATATCACTTAGATGTGTCACATAACCCTTCTGGCAGATGAAACCAAGGGGATCATGGCAGCTTGGCAGGAGAGTCATCTGAATAGGTACGTCTTGTCCCACAACACTGCCTGAGGTCTGCCTGATATGATTTTCAACGGTGAATAAGAACTATAATAAAACAAGGGGTTGAGCCTTTCAGACATGTGGAGGCCTCTCTTTTTTTCCAGAAATGAAGCACTCAAATTGTTGCCCCTGGAGGGGGCATTCTATTCAGATTTTTTGGCTCTCCTCTATGGACTGATAGTGGAGATAGCACAGATGGTTCTTTTAGTTCAGGGATGGTTTAAGGCACTTCAGAAACAGCTGTTCTGGAGTCACCACTGGTGTTGAGAACAAGAACAAATCAACTTGATGTCTAATCCGTCTAAATACACATGCTCCCCTCTCTCGGTTGTGATTGTCTAAGTGATACCCATGTTAAATATTTCCTGTGGGCTGTGAGAGAAGCCAAACTTCAGCTCTAACTGTAAAGGATCAGCAACTTTCATGTCCTTTTTTAATGTTCCATGAGTAAAACCCTTCTTGTTACTTGCCTGTAGAACACACTGTCACAATACCAGTATATGGCTGATGGCACACAAGAATTTATCAGGATTCAGTACATGACTGGATGCTAATAGGGATAAGGAGAACATACAAAGCTATAATAAATATTTTTAAAAAGAGAGCTTTATAAGGAATATAGACTCTCAGGCTTCATAAACCAACTGCTGACAAATGGAAGCTTGCCCAAAGAGCTGGTTACTCTCTAATTGCCTATTGCAGCAGCTAGTCATGGCCACTGCTAGAACAGGCAAGGGAACTAAAAGGATGAGTGCTGTGAACCCATATGGCAATTTCTGTGTCCTGAATTTCCATCCAAGTTTGGCAGGTCCAAACGACCAGAGCAGATGTAATTGAGTTCAGACCAGCAGCTGAATTTCTGTATACTTTTCCCAGCCAGGGACAAGCTCTGAACCTTTTCATTAGTCCACACATCTCTGGTGGTTTCTTAATCTTTCCTGACAAAGGAAAGCTGGTGTTGAGATGCCCATGTGGATATCCCACCATTTAGCCCATTCCAACTTTCCTAAGCTCTGTGAGATGAATTGGTTAGAAGTTGCCAAGCTCCTGGAACTGTACAGTAACATCTAACATGTTACTAGCAATTTGAGTGATTTCATTTTGTACTATTCATGCAATGACTCTGGGTGAATTATTTTCCCAGGCAAGGAGGCAGGCTGGAGTTACCATATGCTTTGCATGGAAGAAACAAGAAGCTGATTTAGTTATTGTAGAGCCTCACAACCTGACCGTTCACCTGGAATAAGGAAAAAAAATACAACTGGAAAACAACAATCACATGCCAACAGTTGCAAGTAGCAGGTGCCATACACCCTGCAGAAACATATGTGCTTATAATCATCTTCCAAATAACACCTGAGGGGTGCTTCTTTAATTGGAGCAGTTAGAGAACCTACCGAGAGAAGCAAAGATGACAGAGCGCAGAACTAATTCTGCATTGTAAAGCAAAGAGGGTAGCAGCAGGGGTGAAAGGGTTAAGCTGCCTGTTTCCAAGGAAACGTTTTGAAAAAGGCTCATTTGGCAGAAGAATGAGAGAAAATCAGGAAAAGGTGGCTGGCTGTTGTCACATGAGAGCATTGTTAAATGTCAGAGCTTCAAGCATTCAAATAGGGCCCAATTTCCAAATGTGGACACCTTGATGGGCCATTCCACAGTCCTGTTTGCAAACTCAGAGGGGACACCCAAGAGCCTGCCAACATGCAAGTTAGAAAACCCATTGAGATGCCCTTAAAATGTATAACATAGCAATGCTCTCTCTTTCCTCCAAAACTCAGCACTGATTGAACACATTGGCCTGGAGTTGTGCTAGCTTGAGGGTCTGTCACCTAATACTTTCTGCTTGCAATTGTTAATGGTTGAGAGAGAAACCTTTTGAATGTACTAAAGGGAGATTTGAATCCTTTAGTTATTAAGTTGCCTCTAATAGTGAACTGTGCTGCTCCTCTCTTGGTCAGAACCGAGGTCTGTATGGACCGGGAGGCCAAAGGAGGATCCTTGTACAATTTCAGCTGCTAATTATGCACCTCCACAAGAGGCAATTTATAAGTCTTCATGTATAATTTGTGTTACATTACTGCCCAGAGGGACCAGCTGTGATCAGACTCTCATTGTGCTTCAGGCTATACATAGATGGATTCATATAGATTTTTAAGTTCAAGTGGGACCACCTAAGCTGACCCCCTACATAGGACAAACCAGACAGCTTTGCCCGGCAATGTCTGCACTCAGCCTGTGATTTCTGGGTGATCTTGTCAGATGTCCCAGAAAGCATCCAGATTGAGTGAAAGACTTCAAGTGATAGTCCATAGGAGTCCACAAAGTGATAGGAGTGATAGTCCACAAAGTCCACAGGACTGTTGTTCCAATGGTTCATTGCTCTGACTGCTACAGATTTTGTGTTTTTTCTGAACTGAATGTATCTAGCATCTACTTTCTGTCACTGGGTCTTGTTTTGCCTTGTTCTACTAGAATAAAGAGCATGTTCCTATCAAAAAAGCATCTCCTCGTGTATGTACTGCGAGACCGTCCTTAAGTCACCTCTTCATCATCACCACTCATAACGAGAGGCAGCATCAGGTGGAGGGGATATTCCCTGCTTCTGTTTTGGGCCTTAGCTAAAAATGTTTGTAGCTGTTTGAACAGGGCTTTGCTTTCCTGTCATTCTGGCCAAATGAAAGGCTCAGAAGTTACCCCGCTAATTGCCATGGTCTGATTCGCAGTGTGTCAGGCATGTGCTGCAAACCTGCCACTTGTATCTGGGGAAGACCTCATGTCACATGGCTGGTTCTGATAAGAGCACTGTACAGGGTTGCAGTTTGTAATGGTATCTATGAAGTCCCTGCGCATCCAGGCACCAGGGCTGTGCGATGGCTGAGCCATGCACAAGCTTTGTTCCAACACAGAGGCTGCGCCATTCTCTCATGCTGGTTCACTTGCAATTTGCATGGACTCAATCCTCTGACATCATCCCTGCCTGTCCACACAGCCAAACGACGATGTGATTGTTGCAAATGCTAGCATAGCTGTGCTACCTCTGCCTCTTCAGAAATGCTAACTATTGCAATGTAGATACACTGGTAAAAGCTTCCACGTGTACTAGTAACCATGGTGCAAAGTCCCTGGACATCCTGGGTGCATCTACGCATTCATTAATGCTTAATGAAGTACTAAATGTTCAGTAAATACAGTTACTGTGCAGTAGCTCCAGCACACATTTTTTTGTAACATTTACTGCACAGTAGCCTAATACTACTGCACAGTAGCATATTAGCATGGTTTTTGCCTGGCATGCTACTGTGCTCAGTGTTATTGGGCCACTGCGTATTAAGTGTCTTGTGTAGACGTGCCCCCTGAGAACATAGTCTGGTTGCAAGCATGTGCTTAAGCCAATGTTGCTCCCTGTTCAAGGCTACTGTGACCATTATGAGCTAGGCCAAGCCAAAATGGGGCTGCTAGCATGGGATACTACCTCTCCTTCACTGTGGTGTGTAGACCTCCCCAGGATGAGGGGCAGCAAAGGATGCATCCCATAGACATGGGAGCACATAGTCCTGGTGGAGGATGATTAACAGCAGCATCACAGTTGCAGCAACAGCCCCCAAACTGCCAAACCCCATGGCTATATACTAGCTTGGCCTTCCTGGGAGAGGGCCTACTCCTCAACATCCCTGCCACCCCTCCCCCTGCACCCCTGCAACCCCATAAGCACTGGTTTGGCAGGCTTGGGAAATGCCATGGGAATGGCTTCTTTCAGTCGGTGTGGGTATTTTGGCAGGGGGAAGCTGTTCTTTTACTGGAGCTGGCTCAGGCGCACAGGCTGGCTTCTGCGCTCTCAGATCCCAGGAGAAAAGGAGCCAGCATTTGCCAAAAAAGAAATTTCCTGCATGTTCACTAAGTGATGCACACTACCTCAGAGTCCTGCTGGGCTAACTGTTAACCCTGTTTGTCCTGGCAGGGGTCGGGATTTCCATTTCTATCTATCCACAAGACTTCTCTCCTTCCATTAAGATGTAGCCATGGTGACCCCCACATTCATCGCCCACAGCACAGTTCCCCAGAACTCACACTACCTCATTCTGGGGAGTGCAGGGAGTTGGGTGTGTGAAGAACACGGCTGCCCATCTACTTTTCTGGAGGTGACCACCATGAACATGTTGCCCTTTGGTCTGAAGCCTCCACCAGCTCCTATGCAGCCCTCATGCTCAGTGCTTCCATGGGACAAGAGGTAGGTCCATTAGCAATTGCACTCTGCCATGACAGCTGCATTTCTAGACATGTCTCTGGTGTGAGTGGCGCTGCAGGAGCAGGAGAGCTGCTAGGAAACCCAAAGTGCAGACAGTAACATTCATTGCTCATCTCCCAGAGATGAATGAGGCTGGAGCTGACAAACCTGGAATTGTGATTAAAGACACCGTACAGCTTAGATTATCTGGGGGAACCCAGAAGGAACTTTGCTCTGTTACCAGGTTCCCTTCAAAGGAGAATTCATTAAAGATTCCTCTATTACATTTACCACATCACTATAAATTAGGGGCCAGCAGCTCTACAGAAGTGCCTGATTCATTTGCAGATCTAGAATTCATTCCATTTCATTATGAAGGGTACTGGGCTTTTATTATTTTGCAGTTTAATTCCTCCCTCAAATGTCTCGGAGGAGAATTCAACTGTGCAGAGAACGATTTCAAATAAGTCATGCAAAATAAGTGTCTTTCCTTAGCTTGTGCTTGCCTTTATCTATCAAGTATTCAGTTCATACCAGCTCTGTCAGCTATCTAAGAATCACATTGAGTTGTGTCAGGTGAAGTCAATTGATCCCCAAAATGAATGTGCACAGCTCAGTGAGCAAACAGGACCTGGCAAGACAAGGAGGGCCTCACTCCATTGCACACAGAGCAGCGATGTCCCAAGTACAGGAAGCCTAACTTATAAGTCAGGTATCCAGCAAATAAAGACATTTTTTGTCAGAAATGTCGTTGGTCTGATAAAAGATATCACCTCTACAAGTTCTGATAACTTATACGTGTAACTCAGCACCAGGTGGCACTGCTGTGTCCCTTAATAACAACCCACCAGACTTTTGCAACCTTGGTCAGAAGCAGGTGCTTGGTTAAGTGGAGGGTGATTGCCAGGCTCTCAGTAGGACTCCTTTAAAAGCCTTTCACCTGACTTCTTTCTCAATGGAGCCCTCTGAGTGGTTTCATAAACGTCACTTCACCTATGGAATGGAAGACAGGAGTTTATTAGGAACTTGCATTTGAGACACTGAAGGTGTGCAATAGATTGGAGCACGGAGTGGGCAAAAAGCAATGCTTCTGTTGCAAAATGCTCAGAAAGACTACAACAAGTCAGAATGTTTTTAGTACTGTAGATTCCTGTTTGAAAACTCTGGATTTATCTTGTGAATCATGTTTGCACACCTTGCAGTGCCAACATTGCATGATGCCTTGCAGTGCCCTTGAAAGAATCTCAATGCATCCTGGTTGCAAATCACTATCTAGACTCTTTCAAGAGAGTTAGGTAGTGAAAGGCTGCTGAAAGTTTTAGGATTCCCTTTCATCTCTGTAGCTTTTTCAATGTAAAGATTGCAGTAAATATTGCTTTATTATTCAAACAGTTGAATAATAAACTGTATCATGAGCTTTAAACTAGTAACTTATTCTTTTCTGCACTGAGAATATTTTGTGAATACCTTTTTCTGATAAAAACTGGTTATACAAATCAACTGTTTCATCATAGCTACTTTTTAAAATGTGCAATATTCCATGTTAAGTACCTTTGCTTCCCTTTGTGATTGATAAAACCATCTTATATATACCTCCTTATTACTAATGTCACATACTTAAATACATTTTACAACTCAAGACTACTCTAATTTTGTTGCCTAAAGAAAGAAGTGTAGAGTAAGGGTTTGAGGCTTTGCATTTTTCATTCAGTTGTTGTTGTGTTTTCTTGCCTTTTTAATGTCTTTGGAGATAACAATTTGTTAATAGTTCTAAGTGCTCTCTGTGAACACCTTTTAATTTTTTTTAAGGTGCTGCTTCAAAAGGAGGAAGATCTCACTGATCTCAAAGTGCGTATTTCTTTTCTTCTTGAATGTAAGTGTAACAATACTCTTTGATCTGTCTTTGCCTCTATAGCTTATATGGGCCATGATCTTGCAGTCGTCTGTAAGCACTCTGTTCCTGAGAGCTATTGAATTCAGGAGCAAAGCCCACTTGCTGACTGCAGTGTGCGTGTGTGTGTGCATGTGTGTACATATAATCACGCATGCATGCACTCAACTAGCTGTTGTCCATTCTGGTTAAGTTGGTCTAAAACTGGAAACCTCCTCTGGGGTTTTGCAGCAGTCAACTTCAGGACAATTCAGAAAGGGCTGATTCATTTGACATGGAAACTCCTGCTGCTTTAAGCTGCTGGATTGTGGAGCAGTGCTGCACAATTGGGCTGCTGCTATTATTATTATTATTATTTTGTTGATAATATTTTACCAAAAATGAAAGTACCCCTAAGCAGAAAAGACAGCTAAGGGATAAGCAGGAGAGGGAGAGTTGTGTGGATGCTGCCAATGAGGTGTATCATGAGTGAACATAGGGTGTCTTGTATCTTGTGCCCCTCTGAGAGGGGTATGGGGGAGCTGCCCCGTCAGGCAGGAAGGGCTGAGGTGACATGCAGCCCGGGAGTAAAGCAGGGCTGGCCAAACTGGGGAAGCTGTAGGGGCGAAGCAGGGTCAGGGCTGAACTGGCTCGGGGCTGGAAGCGCTGCAGCCGCTCACAGGGGGAGAAGCTGGCCATGCCGTAGAAGAGCCTGTACCCTGGTGGCAATCTTTGGCCCATTGATAATGCCCGTCTCCTTGTCCTTGGCAATATACAGTTGCCAACGACAAGGAGACAGATACAGTTCTGCTGCTTTCCCTCGGGCTCCTTGTTCCAGCTGCCCCCGCCCCCACCTGGAACAGATGCCTCATTCAGTGTCCAGCTAAATTAAGAACCGCCTGACCAGCTTTTCCTTCCCTCCCTGCACCATGGGGGAGGGCACCAAGGAAACTCTGCTCCAGGGTGGTGGGAACAGAAGAATCCAGTGTGGAGGTCAGCATCTCGGTCCTTCCTACTTCGGTTTCCCTTGAGCCTTGGGCCCCTTTGCCGACTGCACTTAGGTTCTGGTTTCAGCTCTGTAATGGATTTGCATGGGGACACCTAGCACGTTGCTTCCCCGTTGGGTGTCTCTGTTTTTCCCCTCCCATCCTCTGTCTCACTTAGTTATATGGGAGTTTCTTAGGGCAGAAACTACCTTTCGCTATACGTGTGCCTAAGGCCTAGTGGAATAGGACCACTGTCCTGATTGTAACACCAACGGCAATGCGTGATGTGAAATCTACTGTTGGGATTCCTTCCTCAGTGGGATGTGGGGTTGGGGGGGAAAGGGATGGCTCCAGTTCTCACCTGAGCTCCCTGTTTCTGTATTGCAGCCTGGCTCTTGCAGAATCCCACCATGGGAGTTGCATGGCCCTGCCTGATGGGGCCATGCCTCTGCCTTGCAGAGGTAAAGCAGTCAGAAAACAACAGACACTCTCTAAGTGCTGTGTCTTGGGGCAAAAACAGTGGTGATGTAAATTCTGGAAAAGACTGGGAATAGGAAGGAAGAAGTCGAGGCGAATATACAGTTTCAGGCTTTCACACTGAGGTCCACTCTTGCAATAAGATCTAAGTCTCCAAGATCAAATCGTTTAGGAAAGCTTTGATGAGAAAATGCCTTTAGGGATCTGATTTGGTTTTTTTTAACTGTATATTCCCATCCCCTTCAGATACACACTTTATTTCACTTCTAGACATACTGAGATGAAACAAGGAGCCACCGAAAGTCTCTGTTACAAGCAAAACCAGTTTGAAGTTATGTGACTGCAAAAGCCAGGCAGTTTTAAAGCAGGAATCTTCTTTTTTTCCCCCTTCCACACTTAGCTAATTTTAAATCAAATGAAAATAAATAACTTTTAAAGAGGATTCCATCCTGGGCTTCTGTAGCAAGTTTTGCCCCAAGCAAATTTTACAGCTAAGTTCCAACCCCCCTGAAACCTTTTGAAATATGTAGTTTTTCCATTGTGCGGCTGTGAGACTATAATTAGACTGCTGCTCTGGAGCAACATCTAGTGCCACTGAGAGCAATTACAAGATCGTTTCCTTTCTCCAGGATGCTTCTTGGCCATTGACGGTCCCCTCTGCTTACACCAAACCATGAATATCCATGTACTGCTGCAGGAGAAGAGAGCTACAAGAGAGTATATGGTGCAGTGGACTCGTCTACGACCCAATCCTCACTCTGCCACTGACTCCTACTGTGGTTTTGGGCAAGTCACTTAATCTTTCCTCTTTTGCTTCCCCCATCTGTAAACTGAGACTAACCCCAAACGTGGGCTACCATTCCCTACCTCAGAGGAAAACTGGGAAGGTGAATTAACATTTTGCAAAGTGCTCTGACCACATAACCAGTATATAAAGGCTGAGGTTCAATTAGCTAGGAGACTAAAGGAAATTCTGTTATGCTATTGAACAGTTGAAGGTGATGGTTCATGTTTATATATGTCATTGGTTTAAATCTGGCCCAAGTCGGTAGTAACTGAGAGTCATTCTTAAAGTTTCTTGGAAGTCTCTGCAAGATCTGCTTCCTAGTGGCCAGGTCACTGCTACGTCTCTAGAGGCTGGCCAAGGAGGCAGCTGCTGCTTCGAGCCGAGGACCATGGGTGAGGTCTGCATATTGAAAGCACTTCAGAGCCCGGTGCTGTCAGGCCAACGCCTTCCAACTTGGAACCAGGCTATATGCTTGAGCCTTGCTGTGCTGGTCCAAAGGCCAGTGGGGAACTGAACTAGCCCAGTCCTGCCGCTCCACTCTGAGCCAAGAACCTGCCCCCAGCTGTCTGCTGGAGAAGCAGCTAGCGGTGCCCACACACAGACTCAGGCAGCCCTCTCTCCTTGGCTCCACCTCAGCATCACTCTGAAATGGCACATGTCACCGCCTTCAGAAATATGAACTGCAAGCGCTGGGGCTGCTCTCCTTTAAAAAGCAGCCTCTCTGTTTCCATGGAAACCCTGCTCCGCTCAGCTCAGCTCTTTCCAGTAGCAAAAGCTCAGCGCTTGAGCAAATTGATCGTGCATGGAGATTTCCAGCAGCTTTTCCTTCGTTGGCTTCCTCCATGCTTCAGTTTCAGGTGTCTGTTTGAATAGAGATGAAACAGTCGGGGGTGGATGTCATTTGTGCAGTAGCCCCGCAGTCACGATGCCACATGGTGCTGGGCTTGACTAATTAGATATGTCCTGCTGGGATGTTGCTGGCTTCGGTCTTCTCAGTAGGCGCCTTCCTCTGTAAATGACCCTGTCCCCTCTACCCCACTGCTCTCCTCCCACTTGCAGAATCCAAAATAGCTCTTGTGTGCAAGAATCCCTGCAAAATGTCTCCCGTCTCCTGGGTCTGCCGCCAGGGACCCCGCTCATGGTGGTTAGCTTGGTTGGGACTCGCCTCTTCTAGGTCTGTAAGAGACAGGAGTGTGACCTTAAGTACCTGTGAGCATATGGAGCTCTGTACATCTAGGGCAATAGTATTCACCCTACAACCTGGTGGGCTGGTTGGAAGAGTGGAGGCAATATCAGATGCTGCCTCTCCTGGCTTGATGGCCTAATCTCTGCTCCACTTCATCAGATGAGTGCACAATCCTGAGAGATGTCAGGGGCTTTTGCTGTCCTCCTTAGCCACTAAGTGCTGCTAGGGGCTAGCTGTAACCACAAAGCTGGACCCCTATAATGGGGTCGTGGTGGTAATGTTAGTACACCGGTAATTCAGGGCAGTGCCCCTGCTGTTTCTAAATCTGGCTGACGCGGCCTCCAGCAAGCAGCAGCCCCTTTCTGTTATCTTTCTGGAGCTGTGATGGAAGGAGCCACCCAGGGACAGCTACTACTAAATAATTAATACCCCTAATAAACTAATGATATCTCCAGCGGTGCACAAACCACCCGCCTTGGGTTGCAGGCCAGTGAGTAATGCACACAGCACAAGTGACATCTGCGCATATTTGTGTCTCCGCGAGTGCTAGGGTGTGACGGCGCTTCCCTTAGCCACTGAATCCATCTGCTTTGCCTGCAACTAAGGCTGGAGAGCGGCTGGGAGCTACAGACCCCAGGACCAACCTGCCCTGGCTCCAGTAGTTTCTTAAACCCAGCTGGCAGGCAGGGGAGATGTAAACCCCCGTGGCTTTGCCTGGGGTGAGCTGGGTGGCCACGTGAATACAGATGTGCTGGGTGGCCACGTGAATACAGATGTGCTGGGTGGCCACGTGAATACAGATGTGCTGGGTGGCCACGTGAATACAGATGTGCTGATTCTTCCCCCAGCCAGCGTGAGATGCCCTCAAAGCTCCCATGATCAGTAGCGGCCTTAGGGGACAGCAAACCAGGCGACCGTCCAGGGCCCCACACTTTAGGGGCCCCCAATATTCTCCACTGCAGTGGTAATAAAAATGACTTGCACTCGAGAACTGGATGATCAATATTATATTAAGATACTTCCCTTGCAGCTTCAGGGGTAGGGCACGGCGAGATTGAAACGGAAAATGTTGGACTTGCGTATAGGTCATCAAAATTAAGCCTCTAAGGGGCCCCGAGTGCCTCTCTTGCGCCGGGCCCCAAGGAGCCGAAGGCCACCGCTGCTGGCAGGCAGGGGAGATGGAAACCCAGGTGTCTTTGTCTGGGGAGAGGGGGGTTGGCCACGTGAATACAGACGTGTTGAGCCCAGCCAGGCAAAGCCCGGGTGCCATGCCCTCCAAGCTCCCGTGAGCCAATATTGAATTGGAGCTGCTGGCTCGGCTCGGCTCGGCTCGGCTCCTGGCGCGGGACTGTTTGCAGAGGATGGGTGCCCGCACCTGCCCGGCGTGAGTCACCCGCGCTCCGCCCCGCGGGTGCACCGGCTCTGCCCTCGCTCCTCCCCGCACAGACACGCGCCCGCCGGCTCCTCGCCATGGATCTCCCCGCAGCAGCGGCAGGAGGAGGAGGAGGCGGCGGCTGGCAGCCTCGCTAGGTGCACGGGAGCCGGCAGACAATGCGGAGGGGACAGCCGGGCTCCTCCCGGGCTGCGGGCGAGGTGACCGCGGCAGCCCCCCGCCCGGCATCCAGGCTTGCAACCTGCCTGCCCTGACAAGGCATCTGGGGAGGAGAGCCCTTCCTTCCTTCCCGGCCATGGCTGTGGGGTGAGGGGCACTGGGCCACCCCCCTCCCCTGCACCTGCGTCCGCTCGGATTAAACCCCTCCACCCCTTTCTCGGCTGGACCCCACAGATGCTATGAGCGGGAGATGATGATGATGATTGACACCCAGGTGAGCATTGCGTGCTGGATTCCTATCTCCTGGCCCTGGCTGCTGTTGCAAGAGAGGGCATTGCTGGGGTGGGGGAGAAGGGCTCCCTGAATCCGTGCCGGTGCTGTCCCCAGGCTCGTCGGAAACCCTGCGTCAAATCTAAGCGGCGTGACATGAGCCTGAGTTGTCCCCAAACTGTCTTGCCTCATGCTCTGACTCGGAGGAAATGTTTCATGCTTACTTACGGCAGGCTGACGTGCTCGTTAGGCTGCCTGTCGATAGCAGCTCGCAGCCAAACCAGGCAAACGACTCTGCCTCCATAACCGGGGTTTTCAGCACACCTGGGTTGGACCGGGTTGTAAAAGATGAGTGTGTTGTGATCCTCCAGCCCCTGTGTTGGGATCTGCACCGGGGATAGTAAGCAGAGGAGGTTTGGCTTGCACTGTTGACACAGTGACAAGTAATTGTGAGTTGGAGCTTGGCACGTGTGCTGTAAGAGGGAGTCACCTTCCCAGGGGACTTCGGAGCCAGGGGCTGCAGCTGTTGGGCTCTGTGTGAAAGAACAAAGGGCCCTGCGGTTGCTGAAGGAGGTGGGTGGCTGGAAGGTGAAGGCACCAGTCAAAGCTTGGGACAAGGTCTATGCATGCGTGAGGTGTGCTGGCCATTGCGGGGCTGAGTGGCTGGTCCATGGCCAGCCAGATCCCGGACTGCCAAACCCCAGCTCCCTGGTGTCTTGGAGTGACATGGGAAACACCTAGGGCCAAAGGCTGTGTGAAGGTGCCTACCCCCCGTTGTGAACTCCATGAGTCCCAAATGCGCTTCACCTCCCAGCACACTTTTGTGGGGCCTGATCAAGGTAAAAAAGGGCATGAACCAAACAGAATCGCAGGCCCTCAACTCCAGCGGTGGTATTTCTCGGGTAAGCAAGTTCAGGGAGGGAGGGCACAGGACTGGCCTTAATTATCAACTGGCTCTTTCCTTTGACCCTCTCCACCCACTGACTAATCCCCAAGAACTTGAGCTTTTGGATGGACGCCTGACCTGACACCTCCTTGCATGCAAGAGCGTGATTCTCCTCTCGCCCATGTGTGTCTGGAAAGGAGAGAAGAAATCCCCCAGAAGGTCAGGACCTAGCGCCTGTCCCCTTCCCTTGCTGTCTTGGTGGTTCCAGTCATGCAGTAATTTGTGTCCTTTTTATGGAGAGCTGCTAGGGATGCTGCTGGTTTCAGCTCCTCCATGTGCAGGGGAGTTGGGGGCTCAGTGCCGAAATGCTGGAGTGCTGTAGAGTATGACAGGGTAGGGGTGACAGGTGTGAGCGAGGGCTGGCCCATGCACCCCTGGACTGTGGCTGCCTTTCTAGGAGCTTGTCTGAGCTGGGAATCTGTGCCTTGTATGCAGCTCAGATGAGGGCTGGCTGTCATCTTGAACCTGGGCAGAGTGCTGGATGCCTCTCTTTC